ATTATGTATGAATTTCAACCAAGTATGATATATTGATCTAAAAATTCAAGCAGACACCAGACAGTTATGGGATCTAGTGGGTCTACCCCATGCCTACCAATAATGCACAAGGTTTGCAGAATTTTGACACCCCACCAGTCACAGGAGCATTGATGAGCTCTAACCTGCTCCCACTCTACTCTCACAGGAACCTTTATGACCCATACCCTGCCCCTCTCCCACCACTGATGAGTCCAGGAGATCTTTGGGAACTTCCAGAATGTCAAAATGAAGGAGTAAAAGGAAATCTCAGACCTACAACCCACCCAAAAGTCCAAGAGACAAGCACATAGAAGAATTTGCAAATCACACACCTGAAGATTTGAAATGATAGCAACTGAAGAAACAATTCCATCAGGCTTTAGAAGAAATCAGATCAGAAATAATCGCTCAGATCAAAACAAAATGACAACAATCATGAAAGACTTCCTGGGACCGGGGAGATGGCTCAGTAGAATAAGCGCTTGCCTGGCAAGCACAGGGGCTTGAGTTCAATCCCAGGTTCTGCCAAAAAAAAAAAAAAAAAAAAAAGTTTTAATATAAGCTAAAATTACTCTGAAGTCATTATACTACAGGTGAATTCATTGAAACGTGATATTTCAGTGGCACATATAATCAATCACTGTTTTTGGTTTCTACTTTTCATTTAAAAATAAGACTGGAGGGGCCGGGGAGATGGCTCAGTAGAATAAGGGCTTCCCTGGCAAGGGCAAGTACCTGATTTAAATCCCTGGTTCCGCCAAAAAAAAAAGGATTGACAGGAGCTGGAGACGAGCTTAAACTACATAGTGAGGTCAAGGCCAACCAAAAAACTGAAAAACTAAAAAAAATGTATCCAAATTTCCTTTGTTCTATAGATCTGAATGGCTAAGTACTTCTTACAATGTAACCAAGTAAGCCTTAAAGCAACAACCCTCGAAGCTGTACTAGAGGTCTAAACATCTGAGACAAATAGACACTAGGCCAAACTGGGTGTGGGGGCACAAGCCTGTAATCCCAGCACAGAGAAGGCCGACGTAGGTGGGTCCTTACAAATTCCAGAGCAGAATAGGTTACAAACCGAGCTCAAGACCAGCCTGAAATGCATAGTGAGATACTGTCTCAAAAAGAACAACAAAAAAGAAGGCAGTAGGGCAAACTGAGATGTATACCTTTCCTTCCATTTTTTTAGTACTGTGACTTGGATCAGTAGAATTGTTTTTAATTTAAAATTTAAGAAAATTCTGGTACTTGCTATTAGAAGAAAAAAACCTGAGATTGCTTTCTCCCATTCTGCTTAACTGCAGCAAACACAAGCATAATCAAGTCAGCTCTGTGAAATCCTCGCCCTAAGATTATTTTTGGAACCAAGGATTTTCCAGATTACTGAAAGTCATCGCGCGGTCCTGACAAGGGCCCGAGTTTCGCGAAGGAGCGCGGCGGGCGGCAGCCGCCCAGCCATTCCGGATCCGCTTCCCCATAAGCATTGGGAGCCCGGCTTCCTCCGAGAGCGAGCTTTTTGCTGGCACCGCCATGGGCGCGTCCGCTTTCGATCAACTCTCCAGAGCAGTGCTCTCCGGCGGCCCGCCCGCCACCTCAAATCCCAAGCTTGTCCTCGCACGGCGGAGTTACCCAGTGCCCGGCCGGCGAGGCCGAAGGTCGGCCTGAGCCCTCGGAGAGGGAGGCAGCCCGAAGGCGCAGGTTTCAGCAAATTACTAAACTCGCGCAGGGACGTGTTCTGACTGACAGCTCTTCTTTAGGGGGAAGGTGTTTTCTAAAATTCCCGTGTTACCGTAGCCAAGCCCCTTACAAGCCCGGCGGCCCAACCCGCCCGAGCCGAGTCTGCCGGCTCCCAGGCTGGCGAGCCGCCGGTAGGTAGGCGCGGGAAGGCCCAGGGCGGGCGTGGCTGAGGGACTAGCTGCTGCGCGCCGACGGCGGCGTGCTGACGTCAGGGCGGAAGCGCACGGTGCGTGAAGCGGCCCGGCCGGGCGGTCACGGGAACATCCGTCGCGCCGAGAACACTGGTTAGTCTCACTCCGGGTTCCGGCTGCGTCGGGCGTGCGTGCAGCTCGCGGAGACTATGGCGTCCGGGCCTCACCCGACTTCGACCGCTGCTGCCGCTGCCGCCTCGTCGGCCGCCCCGAGTGCGGGCGGGTCCAGCTCCGGCACCGCGACCACCACGACGACCACGGCGGGAGGGATCCTGATCGGCGACCGCCTGTACTCGGAAGTTTCTCTCACCATCGACCACTCGCTGATTCCGGAGGAGAGGCTGTCGCCCACCCCGTCCATGCAGGACGGGCTCGACCTCCCCAGCGAGACGGACCTGCGCATCCTGGGCTGCGAGCTCATCCAGGCCGCCGGTATCCTCCTTCGGCTGCCGCAGGTCAGTGTTCCGGGTCGGCCGGGCCCGCCCTGCCCGGCCTCGCCTCGCTCCCCGCGGCCGCCAGCGGCGTCCCGGCCGGGCCTCGCTGGG